TTGGGCTCTGGCCATCCATTTTCACATGTCTCCATCTACATCACTTCCTCTTCGTTGGGGATATTTAACTATTTGCTACTGTTATGACAATGTTCGCTTGTCTTATAATTGTACTTTTCAGCTTGTTTTTTCAACCGAAACAGTGTTTTTCTCTCAACAAATCAGCCAACAGTATTTTCAGCCATGGCTTATCAGCCAAGCAAACGGGGCCTATGAATGACAATTCTCTGATTGTCATTATTATATGAGAACCTACATTGTGTCAGTGGAGAGAGTTGATGTGTAAAACATTCTTGCTATTTTTCTGACGCTGGACTGCCAGTGTGGAGAACGCCCAGCTACAGACGACCCATGCGAAAAGACCAATTTGCCCCTGCATATTTCGCTCTCTTGGCGCAGATGACATCTACTGTCACTGTATGTCACCAGTTTGTTCGTCTGCTATGTCAAACAAGGACAGACATCTCTGTACGAGAAACTGAACTGAATCTGACACAACCAGAATAACCTGGAGTGCGATGTACGTAGAACTGGGCCCATGTTTAGTTCCGGCCGGATTCGACGCCGCCGGAACTGGGTTGTATTTGATAATAATTGTCGACGTTTGTCTCATATGGCCTTCTTTTTGCAAAGCGCTAAATTCCCATGGCCTGTTTGCTGGCCTGTCCCCCTGTCTCGTTCTCTTGTCTCTCAGAATTTTCCTCCATGTCGCAATATTCGGGAAGACTTCTAGCATGAAGACCATAACATGGATCCCGACGTACAGGAACAATGGAGTGGCAAGCACGTAGACGTACACGAATTTGGACACTTGCCTGCAACTGCCGGTAACGCTCTGGGAATTTACCTAGGACACGGGGCAATGGTTGATTGTGGGTTAACTAGTGTAAAAAAAAAAGCCGGTAACACGCATTATCGAGACCGCAGTGCAGAGAGGAATACTAAAGCCGGTGCTGCCTAAAGCACAGATTTACGATGCTCCCTTTACGCGGACGACGCAACAATTTTCACGGACCCGAGTGACACGGAGCTCGATCATCTCTACAAGATACTTAATTTTTTTTTGAGAATGCTCGGGGCTAAAGATCAATATATCCAAGGCTGAAATTTATCCCATACGTCTGGACAACACAGTGGTAAACCAATTACTTCGGAACTTCCCCGGCAAGACTTGTAAATTTCCCGGGAAATATCTTGGGCTTCCACTCCATGTTCGAAACTGCGCAAGGTAGAGGTGCAACCTTTGTTAGATAAAATAGTTGCTAGGCTGCCGGGTTGGAAGGGCAGGTTCCTATCCACGTCTGGTCGGGAGACACTGGTTAAGACAGTGTTGTCATCTCAACCGATTTATCATATGACTGCATTCTAAGAACAAAAGTGGCTAATAAAGAAAATAGACCGCATGAGAAGGAGCTTCCTTTGGAGGGGAGAAACGATGGATAAAGTTTATGGAGGGCACTCGATCATTAACTGGCCGATGACATGCAGGCCCAAGGAAAAGGGAGGGCTGGGGATCCTGGACCTTGAACGCTTTGCAAGGGCCCTAAGACTGTGTTGGCTTTGGTTCCAGTGGAAACATACCAAGAGAGCGTGGAACGGTCTAGACCTACCGGTTGACCGTCGGGACAAAGAGCTTTTTGCGGCATCAACGGTCGTGACGGTAGGGGGTGGAAAAAAGGCACGGTTCTGGCACTCTTCCTGGGTGGACAGTGCGACTCCAAAAAGTATTGCACCAACTCTGTTCAAGAAAGCAAAAAGAAAAAATATGTCGGTCCAAGCGGCACTGAAAGAGAACCGTTGGATTGCTCATATATCCCCACTAATCACACCGCAGGAGATAAAGGAATACGTTGCTTTGTGGGAATTGGTAGGGCATACACAGTTGCAAGAGAACATGGAGGATAGTATTCCTTGGCGTTGGACAACGGACGGGAATACACAGCCTAAAAGTGCATACTTGATCCAATTCCAAGGCACTTTCAGCAAGCTGAAACTTATGCCTATTTGGAAAGCAAAGGCGGAACCCAAATGTAGATTTTTTGCTTGGACGCTGCTACATAAAAAAAATCCTTACAGCAAACAATCTGATAAAGCGCAACTGGCCAAATAATCCAATATGCAAACTTTGTGGGACCGATCCAGAAATGCACTTTGTAAGGATTGCGTTTTCGCAGAGCAAGTGTGGTCTCTTTTAAGACAGTGACTTGAATTATCAGTGCTAGACTCAGTTGGAATGACAGGCTCTCTTCATAGCTATTGGCGCAAGTGCCGCACCAAGATTGACAGAAACATAGAAAGACTTTCGATGGCGTTATGATATACTTCTGGTGGAATGTTTGGAAAGAGCGTAATAGAAGAACTTTTCAGAACAAGTCGATGCAACCAAGCTAAGTAGCGATGCTTTGCAAGGAAGATTTACAGCAGTATCAGTTGGCAACAAGGCCCGATGCGGGAGTGCAGCAGTCTTAGTTTTAGTTTTATTTTTAGTGATCAATAGGTCTTGTTTTGGCCGGTTTCGGTCTATGAGATCTTTTATCCTTCCTGGTGCTGCGGTGTAGGAAGCTCGGTTTCAGTTTCTAACACCAGGGGGCTGCTAGTCGAGGGGGTGGCCAGAGTGCCATGGTGGTGAGTTTTTTCTCTCCTTTTTTGTTGTCCCGTTTGTAAATTTGTTTCTTTTTCTTTGTCTAATAAAAATCGGCAAAGCTTTTGCCGCCTTTCTAAAAAAAAAATACCTAGGACCATTTTTTTCTCGAATCTGGCTGCTGAATCTTACTCCCTTTGTCCTGATTAACTTTATGTTGTTTTAACTTTTTAATTAGGTACATAATTTTTACCATGTATCTAGATACTATGTCTAGCTATATAATTAAATAATATGTATCTAGAAAAGTCAAAATAACCTATAATTTGGAATGAGGGCATGATAACAAAAAGTGATAACGATCAATCAAAAGATAGACATACCCTCAGGTGAATGAGGTTGATTGTGGGTTAACTAGTGCAAAAAAAAGTCTTATACGAGAATTGCCATATAACAATTTAACTCATGTTTGCATCAAGTAATATTGGTTGGAAAATGAGAATATATTTTTCCTATAACAAAATTAAATGTAGGAATTCGAGTTGTTAAGGGCATTAAATTGGTTTCCAATGCGCAAGAAGGGAATGGGAGTTTAGAGGGCAACTCCTATTAATCGATTCCTTGGGGGTGGTAATTAGGTGGGAATTGTGTTCTTAATGAAAGATAAATATACCCCACCGTGCATCATAACTTGTCATATAATCTCCCACTCAAAATCCTCACACCAAATAGGGGGTATAAATTCCCTCTCTAATTCCCTCTCTTACTTCCAAGGGCGGAGCTTCCTTAGGGCCAAAGAGGGCCATGGCCCCCTTTATACAAATAATTTTTAAGTACATATTTAATTCTACCATTCCGTTGACAAGAAAATTTTAATATGGCCCCTATTAATATTGATCATATTTGATTTGGCCCCCTCTGTAACATGGTTCAAGCTCCGCCATTGCTTACTTCCCTCTATGAACCAAACAAGGAATTGGGTTAAAAAAATTCCCTCGCTAACTCCATTCGTCAACTCCCACACTAAGTCCCATGCCTTTTTTCCAATGTGGTTGCTAAATATGCCCGTATGTCATTTCAAATGCAAATATACATGACAAATACTCCCTCCTCAAGAAAAGCCAATATAATTTGGAATGGAGAGAGTACTCTCTATGTTCATAGTGTATGTCAATCTATATTCTTATAACGATAAATGCTAAAATATACATGACAAATACTCCCTCCTCAAGAAAAGCCAATATAATTTGGAATGGAGAGAGTACTCTCTATGTTCATAGTGTATGCATTCCTAATCTATATCTCTTATAAAGAAGGAGGCGCCGCGCAGAACCTCACTAGCCATTCACATATCTTGCCATGCAAAAAGGGGAGGTCCACATCGCGCCATCGCCGGATCCGCCGCCGAGAACATCCCACTAGCACATCCGCCTCAATTATCACGCCCACGCTGGATCACGTGGCGGGCGCCTCGATCCATCCGCGATCCAAGTATCCATCATCAGCATCCACTCTCGAGCCGCGTACACCGCTGTCCAACTAACACTATGCCATTAGGGGAGGAGAGGATCGGAGGAGAGGAGAGAGTGGGTCTTTTATTCAAAACCCCCGTATATATAAGCTAAATCGTTTGACGTTATTGGGCGTGGCCTTTTCCGTGGCGGGTCTTAAACCACATCATTTACTAACATATATTTAATTGTGGCACATCTTAATATGCCCACTACCACGGTAAATCATTTTACCGTATGGCAAAAAACGCCCGCTGCGGAAAATGCTAAAAATCATTTACCATGGACTAACATGTATTATGATATTTTATTCAATCATATTAGTAAATATAAGTAGTATAATTATCTCACTATGCAAAGTGTCTACATCATGATTCACTTACACATTCAACACATGCCATTATGTCTTCTATTCACATTATAATTTACTAACATATATTTGGAATGGAGAATGCTAGTAAATCTCTTAACATGTATTATGATATTTATTTAATCTAAAAATTTTAATTTCAGGACAAGTCAATAATATATTTGGAATGGAGAGAGTACTTCCAATATATATATTATTATTAGGAAAAAATATTTCTTCCAATATGGAAAAAAGGGTTGCTCTAGGTCGAAGATAGCCAAAAGTCTTACAATATATATATTTTATGGATTTTTGTAATCCGATTCCGGATCTGACTTCTTCCTAGAGCACTGTTCAACCACGACCGTATTGCGTGCGCTTTCACGTCCACGTCGTGGCCTGATTAGTCTTTGAGCTGGGCTATATTCATCTTGCTCCCCATACGGCACTAATCGAACCGAACAGCCCAGGAATCAGGAGCGACGGCCCGGCAAATCACAAATACTTTTCTAAGTCGTGGGCCGGTCGATTGAAATCCAGTGGGCTGCATGTAGTTCGTATGGGCCTGGGCCACGAGCCCAACAACTCACTCCCCCTCGCCTCGGGCCGCGGCGCCCAACGGTCAACGGCACGATGCGGCACCTCCTCCTCCACTCTCGCCGCCGCCTCCGCCGCGGCGGCGGCATCCCCACCGGCCACCGCCACCACCTTCCCCTACTCCGCCCCCTCCCAGGTCTCCTCCGACGCCGACCTCCGCAAGTGCGCAGGCTACGCGCTGCTGCTCCTCGGCTGCGGCGCCGCGACCAAATACTCCTTTCCGTTCCCCGCCGACGCGATGCACAGGGCGTCCCGTTCCGGTACGCGCCGCCGCCGGAGTACGTGCACGGTGTATCCAACTGGAGGTCTGGAGCGGCACCACGAGGTCCATGCCTGCGTCCTCCTCCAGTCAGACCTCGAGGGCGCGCTCAAGGGACATGGACTCAGGCTGCAGAACTTTGCGTCCATTCGGGAGCAGCAGGTCGGAGGATTGATTCAGGTTTGTTGCAAAGATATATCCACCTTTTAAATTTCTTATTCCAAACTCCGAGGAGATGTTTATCTTTGTGTCATGGATTAAGAACGCTAACAAATTGAGACTAGAACAGGTAGGCGATTTCTCCGATGTTGGATTTACCAGTCAGTGAAAATGTCTAGAATCAGATAAGCCTATTGATGTGGTTTTGAAATGTGTGTTTCAGAATCTGATGGTCCTTTTACTAGTAGGCAGTAGTTAAGTAGTTTCATAGGCCCCTTCTGTACTGATAAAGATCTTCTCATCACCCCAATTCCTGAGACCTCCAATTGTAGCCAGTCCCACCGTCCCAGTGTTCCTTCACAAATTGTACAATTGTGACTTACTTACCGAGTTCAGGCCTATTCATGATTCAACACAGGTTGGTGCGCATGGCACTGGTGCAATCTTGCCTCCGGCTGATGAGCAAGTCATTAGCATGAAACGGGTTAGCCCTGCCAAAGGGACAATAGAGTTATCAAGGGAGAAGGATCCTGATTTGTTTTGTCTTGCTTGCTGCGGACTTGGTGGCCTAGGTGTCATCGCAGAAGTTACTCTTCAAAGTGTAGAAAGACAAAGACCTCAGCTTGTGGAACATATATTTATTTCAAATGCAGATGAGGTAAAAAAAACCACAAGTAATGTCTCGTGGTGTCAATCATTACATAGCTATATAATTATTTTCCCTATGCAGTTGTAACATCCTCAGACTTCTTCCTTTCTCCCCTTGTGCAGGAAGTGGCTCTCTGAAAACAAACATATTAAGTACTTGTGGATTCCATATACTGTTGTTTTCCAAAGCAACCCTCCCTCAAATTGGAGAACCCCAAAATTGACATCAAAATATGGAAAGGATGAAGCTTTACAGCATGTTCAGGACCTTTATTGTGAGTCACTGGAAAAATATAGGTACGCACACTTGTTATGGTTTGATACCCCAAATTCGAATGCTTATGGTGTTCTCTTTGCAAATGTTCGGGGCAATATTTCTCTGTTGAGTTTTGGCGAATAACACTTCCTCAAAATATTGGCGAAAAAATTGGAAGCTTTTACTAAGAATTCATTTTACAAAACTACAGATATTAATGCGAAGCTATTAAGGAGCCATAACACCTGAGATCAGTTTCACAAACCTATAACATTCTCCATTGACCCACATGTCAGGCACACAAATCCTTGTGTGGGTCCACACACATAACTTGTGTGGCTGTCTGGCTGGCATGTGGGTCTAGTAAAATATTGCAGGTCTGTGAAATTGCTATCAAATAGTTCCTTGGTACTGGGCACAAATACTTGTAGTTTTATGAAATTAATTCATTATAGCTTGAGCAGTAGCACATGTATATCAAGCCGATACTATTGTGAGATTTTGATTTTGCTGAGCAGATGCTACTATAGTACCTTTCGAGTCACGAGTACCTCAGTTATGCCCTGAAAACCATCAAGACCAAAGGCTTATGTACTATCAAGGATCCTTAGGCACAAATATTTATGTTTTTTTCTCTTCATGATGCTAAATTTTTTCATCAATGTACTATCAATGATATCTTATATAACGTACATCTTTCATTAAAGTTAACACTAGTAGAATAGAGAATGAGAATACCTAGAAGGTTATATCTGCAAGGATAGCTAATTTAAGCCAAAGGAAACATGGCTTTTTCCGCAAACAAGCCAGACTTAGAGATAATACAAACCAACTACTCAAACTACAACAATGTTTCAGACAAGATTATGAGAAATCATATCTGGAAGCCTATCCAAAATTCAAAAAAGTATGTACAATTTGTGACTTAACCTTTTATGCTCATGTCCCCAGGTTTTACAAATCTTCTATAGAGAAGCACCAAATCACTCGTTCCACTAGCTCATCCATTACTCCTTTCAGCCATTTCGCGACACCTATGGACACTACGACAAGAACAACAATGTGTACAGAAACTCCTATCACTAATGCCAGGATGTAAGCAGAGGTCCTCACTCTCCTGCAGCTTCCAGCAGTATACGCACCCATGAGGCCAAACAAGTTAAGTATCATGGCGGTGTGCAACGCCAAGATGGCCTGCTTTGCTCTGCATACTCGCTTGATCAGAAGCAAGACCATGATCACAAGAGACGCCATGAAGGAAGTTGCGTTGCAGTAGAAGAAAGCCTTGTAACGATTTGGATGGCTGCTCCGAAGGACCGGGTCACCGGCTACGTGAACAGTTTGGCCATCATCCCAGAGGCCACCGGGTGGGTTCATGGCAGCTTCGTAGGTGACAGTCGCTGCAAGTGCTGCAAGGAGCAACAAGTATTTGGGCAACTTTTCATACCAGAGATCTCGTGGCCCTCCATTGTTGACAGCTGTGTGCGGCAATATGAAACCAGCTTCTCCCTCCGTTACGTCGAAGAAGGACAGGAGTCTCTGCAAGAGACCCTCAACCGACTCGGACACAACCAGAACAACTTGGAGCGTGATGCAGACTAGAACTGCAAAGACCAGGATGAGGACATATATGGATGTGGATACCTTCCTGGAGCTCCCAGCAGCGAACGCACCCATGAGCCCAACCAGGTCAAGGGTCACGCACACGCTGAGCGCATGCGATTGTATTCCTCTTGCCGAAAGCTTTCTGTTCACCAGCAGCATGATGATGGCCAGAGATGAGACAAAGGCAGTTGCATTGCAGTAAAAGAAAGCCATGTAACGATGTCGGTAGTTGTCATTGAGCACTGGGTTGCCAACGACATGGCCTGTCTTGTTATCTTGCCAGAAACCGCCAGGTGGACTCAAGCCTGCCTGATAGGTGAGGCTGGCTGCAAGAATGGCAAGGAGCAGCAGAAGCTTGCGCCTCTTCTCCAGTTTCCACTTCATGTTCTCGTCTTCCTCCGGCGGCAACTGAAACAACTTCTTGAGCCATCTGGGCACAGATTCCTCCAGCTTGTCCCTCACAATTTTCCTCCATGTGGCAATATTTGGGAAGACTTCTAACATGAACACCATAACATGGATGCCAACATACAGGAACACTGGAATTACAAGCATGGAGACATACACGGATTTGGACACTTGCCTGCAACTTCCGGCAGCATAGGCGCCAATCAGCCCAAGAAGGTCCATGATCATGGAGACCTGCAATGCACAGTACTTGATTCCTTGGGTGCTGAATATGTTGCTGAGGAGGAGGATAAGTATAACCAATGACGCGACAAAGGCTGTGGCATTGCAGTAGAAGAAAACCAGATATCTCCGTGGATATGTGTTGTGAAGCACTGGATCACCGGCTAGATAGTGATGCACACCATCAGCAGCCTTTGCTTGCCAGAAGCCACCCGGCGGGTTCAGCCCCGCTTGGTATGTGACGCTGGCTGCAAGGATTCCGAGCAGAAGCAGGTACATGCGGGATTTCTGGAGAAGCTGGTCAGCCTCGGCAGTTTCCTGTGGATCATGCACTGCACGAACCCGGGGATCTTGTGGCTCGATCTGGTCCAGTCTCAGATACCTTTGCAGCGTGTCTTGGACGTTATGGACCCAGTTCTCCACAGGCTTGCAGAAGAACACCAGAACCTGAAGGCCGATGTACGACAGAACAGCGACCACCAGGGCAACGACATAGATGGATGTCTTGACGCTTCTGCTGCTCCCCACGGCGAACGCACCGGTGAGCCCGATCAAGGCCGCACCCGTGCACACCCAGAGGGCACACGAGCGGAACCCGTGATGGGTCACGGTCCGGCTCATGAGCAGCATGATGACCACCAGAGACGCCACGAACGCAGTGGTGTTGAAGTAGAAGAACCCCATGAAGCGGTCCGGATGGTGACCACGGAGCATGGGGTCCCCGGCGAGGTGGTCGCGGTCCTGGCTGTCCGACAGGAACCCGCCCGGCGTGCTCAGCCCGGCCTGGTATGTCACTGTCGCGACGAGGGTCGCGAAGATTAGGAGGTACTTGCGCGAGCGCTCCACCGTCCCGTGCTCTTCCAGCGCCATCTCGTCCGTGCTGGCGCCAGCGTCGCGCCTTCTCAGGGCGCACAGCGCGAAGAGCAGGACGTGGGCGCAGACGTAGGTGGAGACCAGGGCCACGAGGGCGACGACGTACGCGGACATGGCAAGCTCCCTGCAGCTGCCCGCGGCGTAGGCGCCCATGAGGCCGAGCTGGTCGAGGATCATGGCGGCCTGGAGCGCGCGGAGCCACCCGCGGTGGCGGCTGAGGGATTGCATCAGGAGGAGGTTGATGGTGACGATGGAGGCGACAAAGGCGGTGGCGTTGAAGTAGAAGAAGGTCTCGTAGCGGCGGGCGTAGGTGACCTGGAGCACCGGGTCGCCGGCAAGGCGTGCACCGGTGCTGGAGCTGTCGTTGTCGGGCCAGACCCCACCCGGCGGGCTCAGCCCCGCCGAGTAGGTGACGCTGGCCGCCAGCGTGGCCTGCAGCAGCACGTACTTGCGCAGCTCCCAGAGGAAGCAGGCGTTGGTGACCATTCCGGGAGGAGGAGGAGCGGCCGGCGCCGGAGCAGCTGGCCGGTTGGGGTCAACGTCAACGAGCTCCGTCTCTCCGCGTCTGGACCTCGGGGACTGCGGCATGTTTTCTTGGAAACTAAAGAAAGCTGCGACGACGAGCACGTCAGTGGAAAGCTGCGGTGATTTAAGAATGAAGCTGCACCGCGTGGAGGACCGGCGACCGCGTCGGGATCGCCGATCACGTCGCGTGGTGGTACATTCCCAGAAAATAGTAGCTGAGCTGAGGACGGTGACTGACTGGCACTAGCAGTGGCGTCCGTGATTTTGCCTTGACCTCGCTATTGACTCTGTTGTTTACTCCTACGATTTCTTGGGACATCCGCATCCCAGTGCAAGTTGCTCTGTTGTTTCTTTGTAGATACCGATCTATGGCTGCAGTGCATTACATGTTCTTCCAGATCGTATGGAATGAAATCAATTGGTATTGTCCCCTGTTACTGAGGAAACTTCCATTATCGGAGTTTCCATGGCCTATATGCTACTGGTGATTGGATATTCGCTCAAATAAGGCGCTCGTGGTCAGCAATCAACGGCTATCCGCGTCTGGAGCTTGCATAGCTACGGGAGTGTTTTTTCTAGGTAACTCCAGCAAGGCCTTTCGGTGACAGATGGACAGATACGCCGTGTGGACAAGTGGCGACCGTGTGGAGAATTCTTGAGCGCGTCTGGGTCGTGTACTCGTGTCTGCATCGTCTCTGCTGATACCCTGTGGCAATGAAGGACGAGATGCTGGCCGCGAGCGTCGCCTGCAGCAGCAGCACGTACTCGCACAGATCACTGCAGCCGCTGGGTGTAGTGTACGTAGCGACCGTGGTCAGTATCAACAGGGGCTATCCGCGTCTGGAACTTGCCCTGCTGCTACGTACGGGAGTATTTTTCTTGGTCACTCAGGCTTGTTTAGTTCCCTAAAGTTTACTTTTTATCCCATGGAATATCTGGACACATGCATAAAGTATTAAATATAGACTAAAAAATAATTAATTATACAGTTTACGACTAATTTACGAGACGAATCTTTTAAGCCTAATTAGTCCATGATTTGACAATGTGGTGCTACAGTAACACATATGCTAATGATAGATTAATTATGCTTAATAAATTCGTCTCACGGATTAGTGACGGATTTTGTAATTTGTTTTTTTCTATTAGTATCCGAATATCTCATACGATACCTTCATATGACACCCTAAAATTTTACGCTGTGGATTTAAACAAGGCCTCGGAGCACTCTCGGTGTCAAAAATTGTGG